GGTTCACTGGTATGTTTTATAGATCCCATAACCAGGCAGGTATTAAACTAGAGTTCATAACTTTCCTTTCCTTGCCCCAAACCTATCCAATAGATCATAACCATCACACCCTTAGTCATCCAAAACAACAATACGGAGTCTTCATAATTGTCTTCATCTGCCTCATTACCCACCTTCGATCAATTACAAGTCTTACCCACACCTTAGTTAAAGACATAATCCTTCACTTAGATTACTCCACCAGCCTCTGAATTAATATCTCCAACATTTAACTGTCCTTGTTCATTCTCCACAGAGATGTCCAAATGATAGTTCCAAAAGCAAATTGGATTTTTTTTGGGAGGGGGGTGGAAAATTGGCATTAAAGTAAGTTTAAAAAAATTATTTTTGAGAGTTTTTTGCTACAGGTCACATGCACTCACTAGAAAGAGGGAGTCAGAGAGACAGAAAGTGAGAAATCACCCCCCAGGGGTGATGGCCACACCACAATCCCTTCTCCTCCATTATTCTCTCTGGATGTTGGGCACACACACACCCAGCGTGAGTTTAAGCCACTGTTTCCTGTACTTGAACTGCAATTGACGACATGGGAGTTCAGCGACATAGCCATTATGCCAACTACTGGTCCCAAATATGGTTTATTTTGATGCACAATATTTTGAGATCCATGTGTAGCTTTTATTCTTATATTTTATCTTATTTTAAATATATGTCACATAACTTGTAAAGTAAATGTTCCAACATGAGTACATTTCTTACCAGTCCAATTGGGGATACTATGCATGTTATCATCAACAGATAATAACCCATTTCTCTGTCCCATAAATGTCTTGCCTCTCTATTTTTCTCCTTAATGTCTTTCCTCAGACTCTCCTCCTTCTCCCACTCTCTTACCACATTGTATTCAATATCTGTAACTATTTTCTATATTTCTATATTCTCTAGTCTTTCAGTTTCAGCCATAGAGTGCTATATATTAAGTGGGGACATACAGTGTCTCTCCTTCATAGCCTGACTTGCTTCACTCAGCAGTAAATCTTCCATATTCAAATGCCGGGATCTTGTTGTTTCTTATGGCTGAGTAGTATTCCATAGAGTATATGTACCACACTTTTCAATCCATTCTTCTGTTTATGGACATTTAGGTTGGCCCCATGTCTTAGAAATTGTGAATAATGACGCAATAAACATAGATGTGCAAGCACTTTTCTGACTAAGCGTTCCCCTATCCTTTGGGTAGATACCCAGCAGTAGAATTGGTAGATCATATGGTAGTTCTATTTGCAGATCTTTGAGGAATGTCCGTGTTGTTCTCCACAGTGGCTGGACCAATTTACATTCCCACCAGTAATGTGGGGGAGATCCACTTTCTTTCTTTTTTTATTAATTAATTAATTTATTTTTTATTTCATTTTCTTTTATACATTCAAACACATTATTATTTGTCTTAAAAAATGGATATTTCAACAGATGAACATTTCTTCCTAATACAGTTGATAAAACTACAAAATATCTTCAACAGATAATACCACATTTCTTTGTGACATTAATACTTTGCCTCCCTATTTTTCTTCTAAATGTCCTTCCTCAGGTGGCACAGAGGTTAAGGCAACTAGTTTTTTTTTTTTTTTTTTTCCTTGCTCCCTTACTTGTCCTTCAGCAACTTCTCACAAACCTTTAGGGAATAAACATCTTGTTTCTACCAGAGATGAACTCTCTGCTTTATTTATAACTTCAGTTTTCCCTTCTCCTGTCCCAATCTCCCTTTTCCCTTTCTCTTTCCTTCCCACACCCACAGTTCCTCATGTCTTCCTCTTACCCGAAGCATAACACATACGATTTCCCATGCCTGAGTGTTATCCTTTTCTGCCATTCATGTACATGATCTGCTTTAGAATTCAAGACTCCAGCATTACTTCTGGGAAATCTTTTGTGATTTTTCTAATCTATGTCTGAATATATATTGGGATCTCTCATTTAAAATATCTTACTTAATTTTTACCAAGTTCCTATGAGACTGATCCCTATTTTACTGAAGAAGAAAGACTAGCATTAAGAAAGGTACATGTATGTACTGTACAATGACAGAGTAGAGATCTCAGTCCAGATGTCCGTAGATGACAGGTGTGTCTGTGTCTAATTCCCCCTTCTTTGTTGAACTCTATTTCTTTATTTCTTCTAAGACTGAGAGACAGACAAAAAGGTGCTGATCCTAACAGGCTCTTCACACTGAAATCCACCTTCAGCCTCAGACAGCCAGGATCACCAGCATATGTGTGTGTACCCAGCATGCAGAGGGAGACCTCAAGATGCAACAACAGGACATTTCAAGTAGTGTCAGCATCACAAAGCTTTGTACTACTGCTGCACCCCCACAGCTGGCCAATCCACCTTTAAACTACTGGGGGTTAGGTAAATTATTGTTATTGCTCATTAAGTGCAAATTGAATTAATTTTCAGGTTCAGTGCTAGACTCAATGTAAAGTAAGAAAAGATGTTTTGAAGCTCTTTAGCCTTCCTCCTAGGACTCTGATTTTCCACACAATGTCTCAGCTCTTTCAACACATATGAGACTAATTCCCTCAGCTGTGATGGCACTAGTAGATATTTTACTTTATCACTTTTGTCTGACTTAAATTGGGTATAATGTTGACTTAGAGGTCTCTGGAAGCACATCGCTTGGTCTCCTGATTCTTCATACTAGAGAAAGTTGAAGATAGGAATTGGATTGAGATATAGGTAAGGTTTGAAGACCGATTTGGGAGAAAGAAAATCTTCCAGAAAGCCTCTAATCACACTTTCTAAAGTGTGATTCTATCATTTTTTCTTTAGGGCTTGAAGCAACTTTGTTTGCTTCTTATAGAACCAGTCAATCAGTTCAAAAGGGCAGCAATGTAAGGTCAGTGAACAAACTTCCATAGTATTTAGTCAAAATGAAAAACATGTATAGTGTCAGAGGACATCCAAGTAAAGCAGCCCTGGCTAACCACCAACAAAATTTACAGCTCTACTGCTTCACAACCTGGAAAACATACCCCAAGTCAAATCTATTTACTGGATTAAAAACTGGTGGGGACCAGCAGATAGCATAATCATTATGTTGGTAGATTCCCACATAGTTGAATGCCTTTGAGTATGAGACCCAGTGGCTTAAAACTTACAGCTGGTGCATGCATGTACATGCCCCAAATCCCAAGAGGAGTATGGAGGAGAAGGGACTGCTGTATGGCCATCTCCCTGGGGGGTGATTTCTTGCTTTCTGTCTCTGTCTATCTGGTGTAAACACGTGCCCTATACTAAAAATGTCTTAAGAAAATATTTTTAAAAGATGGGCCAGCATGTGGAGTGGAGGTTAAGGTATTGGATCTCACATGGCTGATTATGCAGTCGAGTTCCAGACCTGGCAGTTTGTATATCATACTAGGGATGTGTGCTTGTGCACTGATGATCCCAAGAGGAAACTGGAAGAGAAGGGATTTCAGTGTGGCCATCCCCCCCAGGTGGTGATTTCTTATCCCCCTTCTCTGCTGAGTGCACATTCTGTATAACAAAAAGATGAACCAAAATAAAGAATGAAATAATAGTTTGAAATGTCCTAAATACCCATTTTAGGATCAAAATCAATGTAATTATTGTATCATTGATACTGACATTGTATTTACTTTTATTTAAAAAAATTACCTTTTTCTTCCTGTCTGTCTGGAAAGATGGCATCCCGCAAGGGAGGCACTGGCTCCACTGCTACTTCTTCGAGCTCCACCACCAGTGCGGCAGGGAAAGGCAAAGGCAAAGGTGGCTCTGGAGATTTGGCAGTGAAGCAAGTACAGAGAGATGGCCTGGTGGTTTTCTTGCTAGCAGTCAACCACAGCTCAAGTCCTGCACCTGGAGGCTTGAAACTCATGCTGGGTTCATGTGTGTGTGGGCCCAGAATCCCAAGAGGAAATTGGAGGAGAAGGGATTGTGGTGTGGCCAACCACCCAGGAGCAATCATTTGGGGAAGAATCTGTGGTTGTTGATGAACAGAGTGGATGAAATGAGCCAAGATATAGTTAAATATAACACATACATGAGGAATATTAGTAAATAACAGCAGCAGAAACATCAGTATCAGCAGCGTTGCCATCAGGAGAATATGCAGCGCCAGAGTCGGGGCAAACCTCCACTCCCTGAGGAGGACCTGTCCAAGATCTTCATGCCACCCCAGCCCCTGCCAGGATGGAGTCACTGCTCATCGCAGGCCAGATTAGCACTTACTGCCAGAACATCAAGGAGTTCGCTGTGCAGAACCTATGCAAACTCTTCGTGGCCCAGGCTCTTCAAGAATATAACTAAGAAAAGGACGTCATCAGAAGAGGAGTTAACAAGGACTCTTGAGGTCCTATCAAGGAACTCTGGGAAAAAATATATTTGCATATTGAAAAGCACAGAGAATTCTTTCAATGTCATTGCCATTTTTGGCCATAATGCTGTCTTTCTAGCCAGTAGTAAAATAAAACAAAATCTTGACTGCTAAAAAATTATTTCTATTATTATGATTTTCAAATTTGCTATAGGGCATGTGCACATATGAGAGAGAGAGAGAGAGAGAGCGAGCAAAAGAAAGTGAGAAAGCAAGCCACCAGCCTCAAACTGCAGTTGGCCATGTGAGATACCAGAGCCTTAATCATCACACCACCTGCTTGCCCCTGTATTTACTTTTTTTGGTGAGATATTCTTGCTATAGTGTTCACGCACTCATCAGAGAGACAGACAGAAAGCAAGAAATCCCCCAGGGAAATGCTGCAATCCTTCTCTTCCATCCTTCTCTGGGGATTTTGGGCATGTTGCAATCCTTCTCTTCCATCCTTCTCTTGGGATTTTGGGCATGCTGCAATCCTTCTCTTCCATCCTTCTCTTGGGATTTTGGGCATGCACGTGCCTGGCATGAGTGTCAAGCTTCTAGGTCCAAGACTCAAATGGTAGTCAACCATTTGGGATCCAGCACGATAACTACTGCACCACCAGCTGGTCCAAATATCTACTTTAGATAACTGGATAAATAGAAGAGTCCCACTCATTTACCTCCTGCTTAGTGAGGAATGAAGAGTCACACATTAAAGGCATTTTTACCCCATCTGTAAAATTTTTAAAGAACACACGAATGAATATAAATAAAGGGAAGGTACAGTATTATGTATCACAGCAGAGGAAAAATATGGATAATTTAATACATATTTGGGGAAAAAATGAGAACTACTAACAAATATGCACAATGTAAAGTTCAATGTTGAAGATGAATGTGTGTGTATCTTTGATGATGATGTATGATAGGCATGCCTTAAATACCATTCCGTAACCCACAAATATACATCGATTCTATGTAAACAAGAAATCACAACTTTAAAGAAAGCAACAAAGGTCCAGATAGTGGTGTGGTGAAGGTGGCTGGATCACACATGGCCAAGTGTCCCATTTGTGTCCTGGACCAGCAGCCTGTGTGCGTGCCTGGAATCCCGAAAAGAGGAAGAAATGACTGAGAAGGGGTTGTGGCACAACTATCCCCTTTGAGGGAGATGGTGCTTTCTCACAGTCTTTCTCCCTCTCTGGCGAGCACACATGCCCTCTTGCAAAGTTAAAACACACACACACACAGAGTTGTAAGTCGTGAGATTGTGACCAAGTAGTATTTTCTTCATGTCAGTAGCTGAGATGGAGTATATCCCTGATTTTTGAGTCCCAGTATAGTGTTCTTGGTATGTTGTGAAACGACTAGAGTCTAAATTACCTTCTCCTCTCTTCTAAAAAAATCCAAATAATTCTGGAACAGCATGTAGTGTAGTGGACTCTCACATAGCCACTTGTGGTTTGGGTCCCGGAGCCAGTGGCTTGAGACTCTTGCCAGGTGCGTATGCATGCATGCCTCAAATCCCCAGAGGAGAGCAAATGAGAAGGGATTGCGGTGTAGCCAACCCCTCTTAGGCAGGTAAGGTGACTTTTAACTTTCTTTGTCTCTCTCTCTCTCCAGCGAGTGCCTGTGCCAGATAGCAAAAATCTCTAAGAAAAACATCTAAATAATTCATAATTAATATGAATAAGGTAACTTTAAAGTTAAATTAAGCACCACAGAAGCTGAGGAGAATGGCAACAATTAGCATTTGATTTGAGATATTCTATGAAGAGAATGAAGTTCTCTTTCTACCTAAAACTTCTATCTAAAGTTTTAGATACATGGTACTGATTTAATCCCAGTTTTATGTTTGTATTACAGAAAGAACGATTCATGATTTTAAAAAGTTTTCTTTAGGTCATTACCTGTGCGATTATGTAAGAAAGGAAGTAGAATAGTTATTCAAAACCTGATATTTTATTTTAGAAAATTACAAAACACACAAAATGAATCACCTGAAAAACAAACATTAACATTTGTGTCAAAGGTCTTGAGTTTCTCTCCCTGATTCCATATTTTTTCCACCATCCCCAGGCATAAATATAAATCAGTGTGTCCAGTTCATGTTTTTCTCATTTTACTTTATACAGGCGTGCACACACACAACTTATATTACTTTTTTAAAAATTACATAAATATTATGCTATGCATAATATTCTGACATTTTCATTCTTCACCAAGCATCCCATTTTAGATACTTAGTCATACCGATATAAGAAGGCTCTTGAAAAAGTTAATGAAAAATGTATATTGTGAAAAACCTCTTTGTGAATTTCAAAATGTTTTTCACCAAAACAGACTTGTACCTTAATTCTATCTTTTCACAAACTTTTTGAAGTCCTCTACTATTTGGATCCAGTTATTTTTAAAAAATAATTTATTTAATTTTTATTAATTATTATTTTAATTTGTTATAGGGCATGAGAAAGAAAGAGAGAAGGATAGTGAGAAAGCAAATCGCCAGGTCTGAGATTCGAACCATTGTCAGTCATGTGGGAGTTCAGCACCCTAACCACCATGCCTACCTGCTGGCCCCTGGATTCAGTTCATTTTAACAACTGTATGAGATGAGCAATTTGTTTTGCTTAATGAAATTGTACCTGTTCAGTATAACTCTTCCTTACTTAAGTATGCAGCAAGTTCAGCTTCTTAGTTTCAGATATCAAACAACTTTTTCTTTTCCTCTTTCAACATTTACTACTGACTTGTTTTAATAAACTTAAGCTTCAGTTTGTAATTAACACAGCCTCCATGAGTCTTCTCTTTTGTCCACTGAGAGAACTACTCGATTAATTTCTTGACTTAATGTGCCTTCACTTATCGGGCAACTATACTGGGTGTTATCTTTCTTTTAATAAACACAATTGCTTAGAGAATGATCATTTACATTTCTTCCTATCTAGAAGTAAAATTGCAAAGTGGAAAGAAAGACGTCTGGACCAGAAAATGCAACATTGCTGTCCAATATGGTATTTCCAACTTAAAGCCTCACCAGTAATAGGTTGTTCTTACAGCACCTTGTATTGTTAGACATTTTGCCAATCCGATAAGAATGAAATGATTGCTTAATTAAAAAAATTTTTTTTGTTATTGTATTTTAGATTTTTGCCATAGGACATCTGAGCTTGCCAGAGACAGAGAGAGAGAGAGACAGAAAGGGAAAGTGATAAATCATGCTCCGGGGGGACATTCACACTGCAGTCACTTCTCTAGTCTCCTCTCAGGAGTTTGGATGCATACACATGCATCCAGCATGTCTCTCAAGCCACTGGGTTTGGAATTTGACCATGGAGTTGGTGATGTGGGATCCAGTGCCTTAACCACCATGCTATCTGCTGGTCTCTCTCTCTCTCTCTTTTATCTGACAGGGTCTTGCCCTTGTGGTGATCCTCTTGCTTTAGACTCCTGGTAGGGACTATCAGTGCTCACCAACACAACTGGCCATTAGGTTGAACCAAGAATTGAACAGGACTCATATGTGGTCCCGGGCCTGTGGAGCACAGAGTCTTAGTTGCTCATGTCACTGTGGCTGAGACAATGTTCTAACTTTTGTTCCCTGATTACCAAAATGCGATTGAACCCCTTTGGTTTTCTGGCCTTTTGATTTTTTTCTTATGTGACTTTTCTATTCTTCTGCCATTTTAAATAGTTTGATCATTTTCTATGAATTTTAAGAGTTCTTTATGAATTTTTGATATTAATCCTGTGCTATATATACTGTTACTGTCACTTGTCTCAACATTATTTGTTTAAAAATTATCTGACAATTTAAATTGTTATGTGGTCAGTCTCATCCATGTATATCTTTGTGATTTGTGCTTTTGGGTCATATTAAGAAATCCTTCCCTATTCTGGAGCTGAAAATAACATTCTGCTATATTTTGTACTAATAGGTTTTGTTACATTTAGTTTTTTAAAAAAAATCCGAAGTTTATTTTTGCGTGGAGTGATATTTAAAGATCTAAATTTATACTTTTATATAAAAGTATGCCTTTTCTATGAACTGTAGCTACACACATGAATCTTATGTTGATGTTAAATCAAAGGAGCAAGTCACAGGAAATAGAAATGATAGAATTTGTTAATGGATTGAATTTTAAATTCCTAAGCAATTAAGAGATAAAAGGAAATACTTTTTAGCTCATATTACATGAAATCTAGAATGGACTCTAGCTTGATTATTTTAATAATGAAATCCCTGTTTATTACAATATTTCAATTTATATAATACATTATCATTTAGAAAATACTTTCACAAAACTATTTCAAAACAAGACTTATAGTAGAAATTTGCAAACCATTGTCCATCTCCTGGGAGCCTCTCAGAAACACAAAATCAGAGGTCCAACTCAGAGCAATAGAAGCAGGATCTAAAGCATCTCAAACATCCCCTGAGGTTATGATGCACATTAAGCTTTGAGAAGCAATGGGCAGAAAAACTTATTTTTTAAAAACTCTGAGGTGTTCTTAATAATGAATCAGGCTTAGGGACAACTGGGCTACAGTAATTTCCAGGAAGTCCAAATATTTGACATATATCCTATTAATTGGAGTCTCTAAAACAGCTTCTTTCTCTTCTCTGTAGAAAATAAGGCCAGGTGTACGTGTCCACAAAGGGAGGAGTAGGACGGAAATAGTTATGTGGAGTGGGATAAGGTTCTACTACTGGGCTGCCTTTGCTTTTCACCGTCAGTCTTCATGGTTTTGGTAGAGGGGATACTTTTAATTGGAGAAATATGTAAAAAAGTCTGCTTCTTTGCCACTAATCCACATACAAAATTTCTCAGCTGTTTCAGATTAGACTGCCTCTTGATTTAATATTTGCAGGTCAGCAGTTATTGATACAACATTTTGGAAATTAGAATTAAATGTAAAATTTGCAAATTCTATCAAGTTCTAAAGACTCACCTCTCTAGACAAAGGAACATTTTTATGATTGCTTTTTTCAGGTTTGAGGTTGGACTAAATGGTAGAAAAAGAAAGAAAGAATGGATGTCCTTTTGTTTGGGTTTACTGATTCATTTTGCTTCATATCAATTCTGAGCTAAACTCTATATTCTAATGTGTCACTCACTGTGTTGGCAAATTATTAACTAATTGAGCTTGGGCAACTCCTTATTGCTAATTACTCTTTTGCCTAAAAAAGAGACCCATTATTTTCTCATCACGCCCAGGACTGCATGTCAGAGAACATCCCATTTAGCCAATTTTCAGCTATTAGCCTGAACCGATTTGCTAAAATGATGATGCTAATGATATGTTGGGGTTGATGACTTCCTGCCCATATAGAAGATAGTACTTGCTTGATAATGAAGAAATGAAAATTCATTCTCTGGGCTATCACTGTGCCTAATTAATATATTGTTTTGTGAATTGAGCCTTAGAAAAGAGGTCTTACATGAAAACTTGCAATAAAATGCAAAAATCAATATTAGATGATTAAAGAACCACTTTATTTTTACTTTTTAAAAAACTTTTTAAAAAGTGTCTTTTATGGGACCAGCAGGTAGTGTAATGGCTATGTCGCTGGATTCCCATGTAGTCAACTGCGGTTCGCGTCCCAGACCTGGTGGCTTAAAACTCATGTCAGGCGCGTGTGCTGCGTGTGTGCCCAAGATCCTGAGAGGAGAGTGGAGGAAAAGGGATTACGGTGGCTATCCCCCCAGGGGGGTGATTTCTCGCTTTCTGTTTCTCTGTCTCTCTCTGTCTGTCTGGCGAGCGCACTTGCCCTATAGCAAAAACCTCTTTAAAAAAATAGCAAAAAAAAAAAAAAGTGTCTTTTATGAATGAGACTCAGAGAGAGACAGAGAGACAGCATCCCAAAAGGGTCTTGATACTATGATTGCCTCCTATCTTTAGTCAGCCCAGGATCATGGGCATGTGCATGCCTGGTATACTCAGGGAGGTTTCTGGACATGAACTTGAAACCTTCCCATGTGGGTCAGCCTTGCAGAGCATCATATTTTTCTGTTGTACCTCTTATTTTCACTTTTATGATTGACTAACCAACTCTAAATACTGGTCTGCTTTTCCTGTATCTGAAGTGTTCCTCAGCACATTTAATAAGTATCTGCCTAACTTCCCTTATATCCCACGACCATTAATATTTTCCCCCAGTTTAAGAAAAAGTTGAAATCAATTAGACAGGAAAGTATTTATTTGGCAATACCACTTTTACTGCATATGTCTCCTATTGTTTTTGATGCACGAGATGAATGCCACTTTACAGTTTTAAAATGAAGGCTTAAAACTTCATGGGAACAGGAGCCTGCAGACCTAGCTCAGAGCAGAAGAATATGAAAAGGGTTCAAAATATTGCTATGAAGAGCTGGGATGTCAGGGCAGGAAGTGGAAGCAGATTGCAAGCAGGAGGGGTGGGGCAAAAAATGCAGACAGCGCACGGAAGTGAATCTTGCTTTGCCTAACCAAAACCACATACATTGGGGAGAGAGTTCACTTTATGTGGCCATGTACAAAGGGAAAGACTCCCTCTGTTAGAAAAGCTCAAGGTTTCAGTAGGGTCTACAGCTAATGGTGATCAATCACTCCATGAACAGCCCCCAGCAAAGGATGTAGCTTCTAGAAAGGATGTTGCAGACCCAGCAGAAGCCACAGAGAAGCCTCAGTCTCTAGAGAGACCAGAAGAATCTGCGCCACCTCAGGTAGGTGGACAGGATTATACTGCAGGGGCAGAAAGGAAGATGGACAGGGAGGCAATAACCGAGATCAGCCTGTAAGAGAAATGCAGGGGTGGAACTGTTAGGAACAGAAGGTAAGAGTCAGCCTTTGCAGACTGCAGGAGAAGGAGTCTCTCCTGCAGCAGGGGAAGGCTCTGAGAATGCACAAGCTACTGGGGAGGTGGAACCTCTAGAAACAGCTGAGAACATTCTGCCTCTGGAAACAGCTACAGATCTACAACCTCAAAAAGCAATGGGAAAGGATAACGATCCCTGCTTCTAGAGACATTTCCCAAAGAGAATGAATCTCCAGTGGAATTGGAAGAAAGTCTGTAGAATCAACAGAATAACAACCACTTCAGGAAACATTGGGAAAAGATGAGCAGTCCCAGCTTCTAGATGCAATTCCCAAAGAAATTGACTTCAGAAATATTGGAGGGAAATCAGTTAGTGGAAGCAGTTGAAGACCTGCACCTTCAAAGAGTACTGGGAAAAGCTGAGCCACCCCACCTTCTAGAAACAGCCCTTAAAAAGAATGAACCACCAGATGTTGTGGACAGGAGTTGGATTGTGGAAACATCTGTAATGAATGATGCTCTCCATGAAACCCCTGAAGGCCGAAACATGGAGCAGATTCAACCTGAAGGAAATAGTGGGAAGTACAGAGCATCCAACTGGAATTGTAGAGACTGAGGCAAATGTGGAAATGGCCAGGAGAACTCACAGTAAGGAAGAGGACCAGCACATTGAAGGTGAGACAGGAGAAAAGATGGAAACAGAGATGAGGAGTGAGAAAGTAAGCGAGGCGGCTGAAACCAAAGAAGAAACAGGAGAAGCTGTAGATCTTTCAGCAGCTACATAGATATGTCTGGCCGGACAACAGTGAATGGACACAGAGTATTATAATTAAGACAAAAAAATGGTAGCAAATCTTGTGTGTATAGATTTCATCTTTTTAGATCTACATGGTTTATACAAGGACTATTGTTATAGACTATTGGAACCGTAAAAATGTTATCATTTCTTGAAAACCTGCTAAGCTCTAAGGTTTCCTTAGCTATTTAGAAGACTTCTATTATATAACTGTAGTAGCCAGAGCCAATGAAAACTAGGAGATATGATCATTTGAGTGTGAAGGTGGTTTTCTTCATTGTACATTCAGTATGAAAAATGAGACCCTTAAAAAAAGTATAAACCTTCAGGTAAGGATGATGGCAAAAAGGAGTTAGTGAATTTTAGGGAACTCAAAATAAAGTCACATAGCTGTAATTGTGATGGAATGAGAATAAACAACAACAAAACAATGAATTCTACCTAGTTTCTATCCTACCACAGAATGTAGAGCTGATAGGAACCTTAGAAACTATGTCATCTCAGAGCTGGCCCTAAGGAAATTGGATCCTGTACGGTCAGATGGGGTTTGAGCCCCAGCTAGCTGGCTTGAAAAACTCACCATGTGTACATGTGCACATGAGTGTGGCCTACAAGTCTAAAAGGGTGGAGAAATGAAGACAGGATGGTGGTGTGATCATGCCTCTTTGCTGGGGTGCTTTCTCCCTCATTCTCTCTGGCTCTTTGGTGAGTCCACGTGTCCCCTGGCAATTAAAAAAAAGGAGAAAAGAAAGTATACCATCTAATTACCTTCTTGGCATAAGCCTATCTAAATATAACTACAGACTTTTATTTATCATGTTATATTAAATATGTTCAAATCCTGTGCAGAAAAAATATCCTTTGCAAGTTCTTGTGCTGTTGTAAGATTAGGCATTTTTAACTATGCAAAGCTACATGTTTTCCATGTGCCATTCTGAATCAATCGTTTTACATTTTTGTGAGATTTTTCAGTTGGTGTTATAGTTTTAATGTTTTTTTGTTTGTTTGTTTTTAGGTTTTTCCTGTAGGATACGTGTGTTCGCTGGAGAGGAGAGAGACAAAGAGAGAGAAAGTGAGAAATCAGTCCTTAGGGGGATGACTGTACTGCAATTCAAAGTCCATTCTCCTCTTGGGATTTGGGGCATGCTTGCACATGCATCTAGTGTGATTTTTAAGCCAGGACCTGAACCTCAGTAGGCCATGTGGGCCTTAACATGCCACCTGCTGGCCCCTGGTGTTATCTTTTTGAATAAGATTAGAAATTAATCTTTTCTTAAGACAGGGTCTCGACAGATGATCTTCCTACTTTACGCTCTCAAATTGCTGGGATCACAGGCACATAATCACCACAACAACCTTTAGGTTCGGCTGGGAATTGAAGCCAGGCCTCCCATGTGGTCCTAACTTGCAGAGCACAGCGTCTTAGCAGTGCATCCACCATGACTGGGCTTTAGTTGACTTTAAATGTATTTCAGAGGTAACAAACTGCAAAGATTAAAACTTAGATTTGTTGCCTACCTGGTGTCTATTCTTTTTTGGATGACAGAACTTTAACATTAGGCTTTAGAGGTGGAAAGAAGCTAAGAAATCAAGATTTGAAAAGAATTTACTTTATTAGAATGACACAACACAGAAAATTACCTTTCAAAAATTCTTCCAAAGTTGGCAAGGGATTTTGCAAATGATTGTATGTGTGTGATATTAATCATAATGATAGCTAACTTGCCCACCACTGAGTGCCTTGTAGTTATGAATATCAGGATATAATTCTGCAAACATTTAGTTTCTTGATCTTATCAATAAATATATATGTGTTTGAGGTAATTGTTCAAATGAATTAACTAGACTCTTACTTTAGTTTCTACATTAAAATGATTGCTAAGATGACCTGGAATCACTGACAAGGATATAGGATACAAAGAAGAGTAGGTTAGGGCTAGGATGTGGCATAGTAGTTTAAGGTGCTGGACTGCCACATGGCTGACCACAGTTCAAGTCCTGGACCTGGTGGCTTGCTTTCTCATTTTCTCTTTCTCTGGCCAAATTAAAAACTAATAATAAATAAAATTGAATAGATAATTTTTAAAAACATAAAAAAGTAGATCATTGTTATTCTGATTTTAATTTTAATGTATGCTTGTGGCTTTAAAGTGTTGGAGTAGACAGAAAGAGGAGTGGCTTAAATAAATGACATGATCTTTTCTCCAAAAAAAAAATATATATATATATTATAAATTGAGCTATTCTTTGACCATGTAAAAAACATTGTCTTCTTTAATTGTTTATATAGATATCTAGAGTAAATGAAGTGGGTGAATACATGGCTTAATTTGATGTATAAGAGCTACCTCATTTGGTAATTAATAATGCATTATTATCATTATTATAATTAAAAGGTCTTATTCAGGAGCCAGCATGTAGCCTGGTGGTTGAAATTCCTACGTGGCTGACCACGGTTTAATTCCCAGATGTGGTGGCTTGAAAATCATGCTGGGCACGTGTGTGCATGCCCAAAATCTCAGAAGGAGAATGGAAAAGAAATGGAAGTCACTGGGGAGTGATTTCCCACTTTCCCTTTCACTATCTGTCGCTGTCTTTCTCCAGTGAGGGCACCAACTCTATGGCAAAAACCTTTAAAAAAATCTTATTCTATAATATATTCACCTCAGAGTATAATAAGATAGGAAACAATCATAACTTACATAATGTGTTGGGTATATTGAAAGAAGTGTGGCCATGGCCTTCTGACTTATCTTACTGATTTGTTCCTCACACCTCATTTTAAAGAGTTTGAAAGGAGGTTTATAAGGGAAAATGTAAAACAGTCTCTCAACACTTATCTCAGCATCATGAAAGACAAAACTGAGACTTCCTGGGATCAGCAGTAATTCATAAACATCCCATGGCAACATGGATTACTGAGTGGAGAAACTGAGCCTGTGACCTGCATGGTGTGCAGTCAGATTTTACTTAGTGCCACTCTGGTGCTGTAGAGGAAGCCAAACCAGGCATCTGTATCTGCTGCCACAAAGCTTTCTGTTTTGGTGCAACACTTTTCTCTCAAAGCTGTACTTGAGTTTATGGCCTTGGTTTATTTTCCTAGAGAATCTGCATTTAGAGAACTCAGCCAGGCCCCATAGTTTGACCATGTGACAGTGAGGAATGAGGAGTATGGAATTATGTTTTAGGACATTATTCCAAGGTAGGGGTCTCAAACTTCCTGCATTAGAGTCCACTGGGCCTTGGGAATGGAAAGTCTAACAAGCTCCCCATAAGACGCCAATGCACATTAAATTAGGGGATGCCCTATTTCAGAAAAGAAGGAACATGGTCAAAAATCATTGGTGGCTCAGGAGACAAAGCTGCTACTACTAAGAATGCTTGTTGGAGTTACAGATATTGGCTGTTTCTCTGATGGCTCCAAGTTCAAGTCACTGCCTCTATGATCCCATGCTGTTTTATTGGGGAGTGGGGGGGGGTGTTCTTCAGGTACAGTATCTGAGGCTTCCATATTTGATAACTTCATGGACTGGATGCTTTATGGTCCCCCTTAATTCAAATATTGAAACCGGATTCCCAGTGTGATAGTACTTGTGGAGCTTTGGGAAGTTAACTAGGTCATTAGGTTAAAGTCTTCATGAATGGATTAGTACCCTCTTGAAGAAGAGACATGAGAGAGAGAGAAATCATGTGAGGATGCTATAGAAGGCAGCCCCTGTTAATGGGAACAGAGCCCTCACTAAAACCTGACTCATCTGCGCATGCTCACAGACTTCCAGCTTCTAGAACTGGGAAATAAATTGCTGTTGTTTAAGCCACTCATTCTATGATAGTAGGTAATCAACAAAACTGGGCTCAACCCAAAAGAAAATTAAAGTCCATGGTACATATGAGTGTAAAGATAGAGACTTACAGATAAACATATCTCTGTGTATAGAGATACATAGATAAACCTGTCTATAATATTTTTAGATAGAGATATATCTTTGCCTCATAAGTCTGAAAACCTAACTCTTCAGATTAGTTTTAGTTTTTAAGGCAGTGTGAGCCTAAGCATTTTATGGTTCCCTTCACTCTTTCTCTCTAGTTTAACAGCTAGAGCTGTTCTAGTCTACTTTAAGATCTGAGAAGAACAGCCAGTCTCCTACCTGATTTTTTTGGAATAACATACTGTTGTTGCAGCAGAGGGATACCTGTACTTTGGGAACAACTCTCTACTCTGAGCAGAATTTTCTCTTGTCTGTTTATCTGTCTGAAAGCAGCTATAAAATTGACTAAATTAGACTAAACTATTATGTGAAGTAGTTTCCTTGGCTGAACTTCTGAATGACCTTTGGTTTTGGAGTCATGTCTTTCCATGACCAAACCAATTTGACGGCCTTAAGTGGCCACAGGGTAAATGGCTCAACATAGAGATTCTCAGGAACCTGGACTCTATGTATTATTTACACAGAAACATGTCTAAACCCTTCAGCCACAATAAGCACTACTAGGCCCATCTGGGGATGGATGACCTGCCCAGTGCTACATAAATGAACTAACCATGGCCTCTGCGTATTGGATCCAGGCTGTTTCTTTCTTTCTGCAGACTGAGATAGGTTAGCTAAAATGATAACTATCAGGCACAGTTTTAGGGATTGGTGTTTAAAAATAAAAAAAAGACATAGTTCTTGACCTTACCTAATTCACTAGATAAGAGGTGGATGAACAAGTATAAGGTACTTGTATCAGCGCAGTGTAAGAAGGCCTATATAATTCTTTTTACCATTCTGTCTACTTAAGTGAGTGAGTCATGTCTGTTGTAAGTTGCCACTGGGGCAAAATCCTGGGGTGAGAAGTCACTGTGGGGGCCAGCAGGTGGTGTGGTGGTAAGATGCTGGACTCCCACATGGCCAACCATGATTCGAGTCTTGGACTTGGTAGCTTGCTTTCTCACTTTCTCTCTCTCTGTCTCTCGCTGATGAATGCATGTTACCTGAAGCAAATTTA